GATTTTGCCGTTCACTGGAATGGACATCTTAGGTGGGAAGGCTTGTAAGGAACAGAAATGAGGCATGTATCATTTTGCATCAAATTACAATAGAAAATACATTGTATTCCCTCAAACTTACTGCTGAGGCATTCTTACTCATGTCTTCCACTTTCTTGTTAATAACAACATGCTACAACAATAACAACTCTCCAAAAAATCCTTTCCACCTCTTTCAAAGAAAACCTGAAGGCCTAGAAGTTACACGTGCCAATGTAAGAATTTTCCTTCTAAATGCTGTCTATAGCAATCAGAGAAATCAAAACCTGATCAAAACTGTGTTTCCCATTCTCAGTGCTTTCACTGCTATCAATAGCTATTTTTAAATGTATACCTTATTTTTAATCTAAAGAATAATGAAAAGAGACAAAGTTCTTCCGAGTTAAATGTTGATTTTTATTACAGAGGAGAATTAGTTTCCTTCCTATGTAGAGCCGCAGCATAATCAGTTTTTCATGTGACACATCAAATCCAACTAGTTTCAAGTCCTCTGAGGCTTCAACAGTGAAAAAGGAAAACCTGTAGTGCTCATTGGTTCATCTTAGCGAAACTGTAATATCTTAAGAGTAGACATCTGCAATATCTGTGCACTGGATGCAGATCAAGATCTGATACCAAGGCTATGAATACAAAGAATTTATGTCCAAAGGGAATTATATCAATTCATATTACGTTTTGAATTTTTATTTCATTGTAAGAATATTTTCATTACGCAAAATTTTATTTTACACTTCTGAAAGTTTGTATACTGTTAATTTGCTTTTCAAATAATAAGCCAAAATTATTTTCTCATCTCTGTCAGTGCTTGCATTTGAGGTTAAATGCTTTGAGAACATAGCAAATGTTAAATTATGATAGATTTTACTACATATAACAGATAAAAACAAACACTAGAGCAAAATTTCATTTACTCTGAAGTTTAACATTAAAGAAAAAATGAATACAAAACCTAATAAATTCAGAGCTGCTCCAGCTGTAAGGTCCAGATCATGTAAACAGAATAAATTAGTGCAAAATATTTGCCAATTCAAAATAGACAGGGTGGAAGGTCTAGCAGTGATCAGTTAATCTGTCTTTCCAGGTCTCTGCATCTCCCACTAATGACTACTTTCTCCTCCTTCATAAGCCAGTCTATTGAAATCAGCGAGGTGGTTTATGTAGGCAGAGCATGAATTTTTCATTGATAAGCAGTGAGAATACAGAAAAGCAGAGAGAGTTTAAACTACATTTTCATTTTAAGAAATAAAAGTTTCTATCCCTTGTGGGAACAAAGGCATCTTTCTAAACAAGAATTGCTAGATAAATGCTTGGAGACTGAAGACAGTTCATGTGCTTATTTAAACATTTTACCAACTATTCAGAAGAGGAGAGGCAGCCAAGAAACAGCAGACCTCTGTCAGTTTTACTGTGGTGAAAAGCTTTCCAGTTAGAAGAGTATGTAACCGATTTCTCTCACACCAACAGGCTAGGAACCTATGAGTAAGACAGCTCTATTTAGTATAGCTGAGCTTGAGTCCTGAGCATAGAGCTCCAAAAGCCACCTAGATGGCCAACTGCCCCACTCTCAAGCTCACTGCCAGTACTCCCTCCTGGAACTGCAGCTCCAAGGAACATCTGAGCAGAGGACAGAGAATCCTTCTTCCATTTTGACTCAATCTCCAGGTACCATTAGCAGCAGGCCCGGATTCCAGCAATAAAAAGGAAAACAAACAATCAAACAAGCAAAAAACAGAAATAAAAAGAAGCAGATGAAAGAGAGCTGAAGCCTTCTTTATTCCGTACAACTACCATAGAGGGCTTATCGGACACTGCTTGATAATATAAGCAGCAGCAGATACGAAGAAATGAAATTATTCATGAAAAGTCAATAACATACTTCCTTGTAAATAAAGCTAGCTGGCAGAGGGAAAACACACTTATCCACTAATAACTCTAAAAGTCAAAAAGAAGCAACAATGACAGTGGAGAAAAAGGAAGAAAAAATAATAACTCAGCAGTCTTAGATTATCAGAAGTTTGGCTGGTAGAAATAACACTGATTCCATGTGTTTAAAATTTTTTAAGGGCCTTTGAGCATGAACCATCACTGAGAAAAACAGATAAAATTTAGCAAATAATAAACAAAATATTTTCCAATTTACATTGTCAGACATTACCATGTAGACACATTGTTCAACAACAAATCACATTGGGGCACTTCCAAGGCCTAATATGAAGTTACACATAATACCAAATACCCATACTCAAAAATGAACAAACTCACTGTGAGCCGAGTATTACTTTCTTCCTTTGATTACTGGAAAGCTACTCTTACAATTTGCTGTCAGAAAAGCTCATCTTTATCACTGAGAAGGACACTTTTAAGATGAGGCACAAACAGAACACTACTTCTTTACTTAGAATCAAAGATGAAAATATTGTGAGTGAAGATCTACATAGGGCAGCTGCTATAAATTCTAATACTTTGAAATTCCAGCACTGTGAAACTCCCTATATACACAGTTTGCACTCAAAAGGGTTCAAAAAAGAATGCTTTTACAGGAATAAAAGTAGAGGCAATAAAAAGGAAGTCAAGCTAGAGGCACTAAGTTTGTTTAACAACTTATAATTAAGTAAGGAAAGGAATATAGACTGCATTAATTGTGGTATGGAAGAATACAATACTCCGAGCTGAACTGAAATATGTTTCACAATAGTTCAATGTGAGAACTCAAAAGTAAGGCTTTGGTGACCTCCGAAAGATCTGAGACTACTGAGTCAACTTGCAATGTCAGAAAGTTCCTGGAATCCCCAAATCAGATACAGTGCAGTGTAAGATACTCTAAGACTTCAACAGAATAGAACCAAATGAGGAAAAACTTTGTGCAAGATAAAACAAGACATAAGTCAGCAAACCTTACACCCTTTGAAATCCTGGCAGGAGGCAGAGGAAGATTCTATCAAAAAAAACCTGTAAAATTCCATTAGGATTGGTTATTAAAAAGAAAAGCAGAATATTGTATAAAGATTTGAATCAGATCCAGTTATTTGACAATCATGTTGTGTTTGTAAGAACTTGACAAGAAATTTTCCAAGAGAAAATACGCATTCTGCTGTATTCAGAAGAACAGGTTTCTACTTTTTTCTTCTCTTTTTTTTTTCCTCCTGGAAACACCTACACAAGAACACAATATCAGCTTGCGTATGAATCAAACACTCAGAAGCTGAACTTCTCTGGACAAAATGATCTTTGAAAAAATTAAAGGTCTGACCTAAACTGATATGTAATGATAAGGTGATTCTTACACAGATCTAACTACAACTAAAAAAACAAGCACTAAAATAAATCAGATTGTAACCTTTTCAGACCATTTTCTGCAATGCTCTACATGTCCTACAACTTGCCCTACCATAGGTAATACAATTTAGACATTAGGTCTCATTGAGAAAAACAGTATCACAGACGAACATGAACTCATGGGTAAAGAAAAAGTGGAAGACTAAAATACACAAGTTACAAAGGAAAACACAAATTACTAGCAAGTAGTTAACCACATGAGAAACAAAGCAGGAAATTACTTTTCAGAAAAGCACAACACAGAGCATGCAGAATTAGCGTCCAGAGTTGTATATGTCAAGAAGCTCAAAGTAAGTGCATCCAATACATGCTGAGATTCACTGTGCTTAGCAGTCAAAATTCCATTTTGATAATCCTCATATCATGCCCAAATCCCGCTGTTAAAAATGAAGATGTTTGAACATAAACATGAATGTTAAAGTTGAAAGACAACTGCTAAGTACAGACATATGCTGCCGCAGTTAAGTATTTCCCAAGCTGCAGCAGTACTGTGCAAGCTGAGCTGGGCTCCCAGCAATGCAACTCTATGAGCTCACTGAACCAGCTACTTTGCTTTATCATCAATTCTTCTCTACAACAGGGTCATTGCCTCAGCTTGATTTTTAACTACATCACTTTCCTGAAAAAGCAGATTTCATTGGACACTTTGAAAGCCTTGTACTGGCTCCTCAACCACATACTGCACAATGCACACAGCTTAACACAGCATCTGCAGTCACACTTGTGGTAAGACTAGCAAGGCTTGTTCAGGAAGCACATGGATGCTTTTTTGTTTTATTTATCTCCATCTCTCACCAGGGTAAGCAGAGCACCTAAGAAACTGCATTTTTCTATATTATTACCTGTGTGTTTTAAAGACAATATCACACCTTTCGCAGTGGAATTCAGTCCAATTCTACCCAATTTGGCACTAATAACCCCATGTGAAAAGCTGGAGAAAAAAATTTAAAAAATCCTTGCAACATGTCCTTTAAACTCTGTATCACTGATAGTAAGCAAATTCTAGAAATGAAGATCAGTACATGAAGCACATCGTGCCATGTGCAACTTCCATAGTAGCCTATGGTCACTTGGGAGTGTCTTTGACAACCCTGAAGGCTGTCAGGTGAGGAAGCAGATGGGTGCTCACATACAAGCAACTGAGGGCACAGCGTGGTGTGGGAGCCATGGGTCTGACAAAGCAGTATCCCAACCCAGATTCCACCCTTGTTCTCACTTGCAGAGGCAAGGCCCTGAGCAAGACTCATTTGTCAGGATGCACGTGGTGCTTCGGAGCTCTGAGAAGCGCCCGAGAGCTTACATGTGAAGGGGCAGCAGAGGAAGGCGCACACTTTATTTTGCATCAATCTCCTCGGGTCACAGAGAGCAGGAATTATCCTGCTCGGAAAGCAGCAGTTTAGCAAGCTGCACCTTGTCGTAGAGTGACGTGTGTGTTTGTGTGTGTGTGTGTGTGTGTGTGTGCGGGTGGTTTTGCACTGTGTGAGGCTTGCAACTGGAGACAGCGGCTGGAGGAGGCGGTTGGAGCTGGTGGCGCGGCCTGAGCCCGCTCTCAGTGTGCAGCAGGCCGCCGCCCGGCAGAGCAGCCCGCCCAGCGCCGCACCGCGCCGGGGACAGGAAGCACTTACCTAGGGAACTTCTCCTTCAGCTTCCTCAGGCTCTGCCGGGTGGGCTGCACGTGCCCCAGGAACTGGGCTATTTCATCGTACTGGGCTTTGGTGAGCTTCATGCCTCGCGGCGCCAACAAATGGCCGAGTTGTGCCTCTCCGGCCCCGAACAACGAGGCGGGGAGAGGCGGGAGGCAGCGCACCAGCGATCGGGGGATCGGGGCGACAGCCCCCCAGGGCACCCTTTACTCTCAGCCCGCCGATCACACAGCGCGGGCCACTGCCGCCCCACTTCCCGCAGCTCCGCCCCGTGGCCCGGCCGGGGCGGTGAGAGGGGCGGAGCGGCGCGGCCGAGCGGAGAGAACCGAGCAGAAAAGCGAAGGGGGGCCCCTCGCGAGTTGGCTCTGCGCAGCCGCTGTTTGTGTAGCTGTTGGCTACTGGCGGCGGTTTCGACGTGCTCTCCCGGTCCTTGCTTGTGGAGGAGAGGAGGGCGGTGGTGGCTGGAAGGAAGGTGGCCGAGGAAGTGCCCGCTGGCTTTTCTATCTGAGAGGGCTGGAGGAGAGCTGTCAGAGGCCTTTGCATTACTCTCTGCAGTGGCACCTCAGCTTCACGGGGCTGGAGGCCAAAGCAGGGGGAAGCTGGTTTGCAGCCCACTCCATTACAGTTCTAAGGTATGGCTTTGAACTGTATGGCTTGGTAATGACTGTTTCTCCTGATTTTTGGTTTAAAAACAAACAAACAAACAACAACAACAAACAAACTCGATGCAGAAAGTGGCACAGTAGTGCAGCAGTGGATCCTAACTGGGGCTTACAACTTTGCATGTGTATGCAGGAATTAAAGTTTTCTGTTAAATTTTAGAAGGAAACTGTCTCCAGGCTGAACCAGCCCAACTAATTTAGCCATTTCCTGTAGGAAAAGTGCTCCAGCACTCTGATGATCCTGGTTGCCTGCATGACCAGCTCCATGTCCTTGTGCTGGAGGATCTAGAGCTGAATGCTGTACTGATGGGGCCTTATGAAGGGTGGAGTAGAGGGAGAAAACTGCCTCCCTCACCTCTTTTGATACAGCCCAGGGTACAGTTGGCCTTCTAATTGTTAGAATTATGACTTTTTTTTTTTTTTTTTTTTTCCTTTCTGGCATTTATGTTTAAAGTAACTAAGTACTTTTTCTTTACTACTGCTACAGGTCCTTTAGAAAGAAATAAATAGCGATCCTTAAAGTCTTACTGTGTTTGTTGTGAGATCATTTCTAATGAAGTTGTTTTTTAAAACAATAATGTTACCAGATATAACTTCTAGACTTATTTCTGTTCATCTCCTTTGCTCAGTACTACATTTTTGATTATTATTATGTTTTTAAATCACATGATGCTCAATCTGCAATGCAGACATATGGAGTGATTTAGAACAGTAGTATGAAATAAACAGTGCATTGACCAATGTTTTGTATGTGTATTAGGTGTATTTATCTGACATACATGTTAGCTATATATTTGATTCTTAGATTCTCTTGTACTGGAATGGAGTTATGTAGGTTTCAAAATTGTTTTAAAAATTAAGTAAATAACCTTCTAGCATTAAGGTCCAATAAAATTGGGATGAACTAATAGCAAGCTATAGTGAGGAGATAGTCTCAGGTATGTAAACTGCTGCTTTTATCTCAAGGAAGCATTTACAGTGAAATGTGAAACATGGTTGGGAAGTGTAGTATGTGAAATATAATTCACTCTATGAGTTATATTTTAAATTAGTTAAGTTGCTCCAATGAGAAAGAAATCACAGAATTGTTGGGGTTGTGAGAGACCTCTGGAATTCAGCCCCCTTGCTGAAACAAATTCCCTAGTGTACGTTGCACCTGAAAGCATCCATTCACAATCTCTCTTGACAGCCTACTTCAGTGTTCTGTCACTCTCATAGTAAAGCTTTTTTTCTCGTGTTGTGCCCATTGTCCCTTATCCTCTTGCTGGGCACCAGCAAGAAGAGTCTTGATTTAGATATTTATTAGTGTTAGATAACCTTTAGATATTTATAAGTGTTGATTAGATCCCTTCTCAGTATTCCCCAGGCTGGATGATTCCAGGGAGGCTTAGGAATTCTGAGCTGCAAATGGTTGGATACTGGCCTATAAGCTTCATTTGTTCTCATATTCCTTTCTTGGTGTCTGTCCTAGGCAAATTGTTTTTCTTGCCTTGGCGTTTTAGTCCATCTATTGTAAGAACTAAGTTTTCATCCAAAAAAGTATGCAGAACTGAAGAAAAAAGTAGTAGTGGGAGAACCAAATGATTGGAAATGAAAAATGGAGGGAGAAAATGAAAAAGGTTGGTGTATGATAGCAAGTAATGGCAACTTGGTCTGTTTCGTTTGGCTAGTTTATTTTTATTTAATTCTATTATTTTGTGCTAGTTTGTAGTTTTAGCTGTTATTAGCAGGTGTATTCCATTATCTTGAAAAGGTGATTGCATAGTGTGATTTACAGCCAAGTTCAGAGAGAAAATATCTCCACCGAGCTTAAAAGCACTATGTTTTGAGAATACTTAATGATACTTAATGGTAGTATGATATTATGGGGAATCAATTCATGCACAAAGTGCAAGTTTTTATTAGATTTTTATGACCATCCAGTTGTCTTTTTATTTGACCACCCTACTTCTTCATAGACACAATCTCTGTTCTGCATTGCTTTCTGTAGCAAAATTAATGCAAAGCATGCTAGTATCCATTTATATTTTCTAGTCCATTTGTATGTGTTTGTGTTGGAAACTGTAAAACTAAAATCTCGTTGATTACAGTGTTTATTACAATTTTCTGAAGTTTGTAATGTTCAAACTTTAGTCTGATGGTCATTTTTGCAAGTATTCTTTTTTCGAGAAATGCAGCTCTGCTTGTTTAACATCTTTGTTAAAGAAAACTTGAGCAGTGTTTCTGCTTAACTTGTTAGCAACTGTATCTGTAACAGGTCTACTAAACGCACCTTAGTAGATAGAATTTAGGATACAGTTGTTACCTCATAAAAAACTGAGAACCCTGAGGTTTTTATCTCATTTGTATCCATGGGTTTTAATGTACTTCTTGAAAGTGATTGTGCTGTGAAAGAACCTGATATGTTCAGTTTGTTATCCAAAGAAAAAAAAAAAAAAGAACAGTTGGTCTATACATCAGTGTTAAACACTGACAATTTTGCCAATTCACTAGTCACTGTAAGTTTCTGATCTTTTTTTTCCCCCCTACAAGTATTCATGGAGTTGCTTGGCACTGCAACTGTGCGAAAAGCATGACAATAGCAGAATTGTTATACAAGATATTCAAGGGGGCAAGTAGGCATTTTTTTTTTGTTGTTGTTCTGTGTCTTCAGCCAAGTTGCTAATAGTCACCTGAGTAACTCAGACAAATTAAGTCAGTTTTCAGTAATATTATATCCAATATATCTTTCTTCATAATACTTATTTACTTATTGAATCAACTCAGGAAAAAAAAGTCTGTTTGCATAGTGTTTTGCAAACACTGCTTTACATGGGGCTCAATTATCAGTTGAAAGCATATCAATTTTAATGGACTTGGAAACAGACTTCTTATGGTTCTAAGCTGCATGTTTATGTTTTTTTTGTAACAAGCCGTAAAGGAATTTTGAAAATAGTGAGTTATTAATAATCAGTTTCTATAAATGAGATGATAACATGCTTTAAGTGTTCTTATCCTACTGCTTCTCTCTTCTGTGGTTCTACATGATGAAATATCTGGTGTTTGGAATTCCTTTTTGAAGTTCTCAGTAGTTGGATGCAGAAACCTGTGTGAAAATACTTTCAAATTCAGGTACTTAATGTTTATTCGCCCTTGTCTCTGTGTTTTAAAATATCATCAAATACATTATACTGCTTTTCTCCCAGGGGGATTTCAACTTCATTCATTGTGCAGAGAAAATACTGTAGTTGTGTGATGAATTACATTGTTTTCTGTAGGACCTTTACCTCCTTTGTTGCTTAATTCACCCAAGTACAAATTCTTCAGGATCAACAGAAAGAACAAGTGTTAAGGTAGTTTGACTGCTGCCCAGGTAACAGGTATTCTCTCCTTGCTTCCTTTGTGGACTCTTCATGGAAGTGTGAAGTCCATTGATACAGTTATTTTTCCATGTGGCCTTTTTTTAATACAACATACACGGAACTATGTGCCAGATCTTTAATTTAATTACATAGGTGCTGTAATCTACTGCCTGAAGAGATCATCTTGACCTACTCTGGCCAGTTTCTGAGCAATGCCTATACACTTGTATTACTGCTACTGCTGATTTTGCGCATACAGTTGTCAGGCAAATCAGCGGATTCAGATGATAACTTAACTTGGCAGAAGAAAATAGCTATAAAAATATTTATTTTATCTAAATCAACGTGTGAGTCTAACTCTCTGGGAGGAAATAGGGTTGCACAGAGCTGCAAGACTACTTTCCCTAGACGGTAGCAGAGCTACCTGGGGGATTAACCTTACAAATTACACATCTAAATTAGGTGCCAACCATTAAGCAATATGATTATCCTGCATATGTTCTTCTTAGAATTTACATTTAAAAGCCTAATTACGCGAAATGCTAAGCACTGTCAATGGAATTGAAATTAATGGAAGTTTTACTTTGAACATGCAAGGTACTGAGCACAGTGTTCAGAAAAGTGAGGTCCTAAGTGTATTATGCTGCAGAAACCAAATCAGTGAACAGTTTTGGCCTAGATCTTTCAAATTAATTTCATACATAGACATAGATATATACATATGTATATACACACCTACACAAATTTATACAAAAATATATGACAGATGAAAAGGAGTATTGAAAATGTGGTAATATATATAATCATGCTAGTGTTTATGGAATATGCTACTATGGTGATGAGCTTCATTATAAAATATATATGAAATTAGTAAGACTATTCTTAGTATGCATGGCATGGATAAATTAAATAATAAAAGGAGCCAAAGTTTGAGTTTGAAGGTTAGGAAGAAATACTACAGAGGTGTATTGCCTGTTTTTTTTTTTCTGGTAATAAGGCTGTAAAGCACTATCTTGCATTATAGGTAAACAGAAGAATTGAACAATCAATTCCTCAAAATGAGCGGAAAAACTTCCAAGTGTTTCAGCTTGACTCTGTGACAGTAATTCTGAAGTGTGCGAGTGTATTAAAAAAAAAATAAAATAACCCAACTAAATTACAATTATTCTGATGTCATAAAAATACACTTTGTGATATTGTATTCCATTTTCAGTATTTATTTTTTAGTTTGCTAATTGGCAATTAATTGCAAAAGTTAAATCACTTTGAAGCATTTTTCCCAAGCATTACTTTGAGACAACAAGACTTTACTAAGTTTTTTTTAATAAACTTAGTAGAAAACACAGACTACTTAGACATACTCTGACATACTATTTCTTTTTTGCTTACAGTCAAATGAATTTCAGGTAGAAAGATAAATGCTACAGAAGCCTAAAACTAGCCCCAGTATTTCAATTCATGTCTTTCAAGCAAATTTCTGCAAGCTGAAAAAATTCTGCCTGAGCAGGAATTATGAAAGAGAAAACAGATTGATGTTAACTCCCTGACCCATTGATTCAACCAGTACCTATTAGCTGACTACAGGGACTTATATTTGTAGAATTTTGTGGTGTTATGGTAATTTGGTTC